GAATCTGGGTGACATATTTTTAAGAACTATCATTTCTAGTTTAAGGGTTAGGCATATGGAACTTTTCATTCAAAATTTATCATACATCATCCACCTCCTGGCCATGGGCATGGAGAAGGCCATTAAAGCCCAACAGGGCTCTCTGAATTCTGTAGCTGAGTTTGTTTTAAATAACCATATAGCCTTGGATTTTCTTTTTGCCAAATGTGGTGGGGTATATGCTATTATAAATAAGATATGTTGTGCTTGGATAAATACTTCCAGGGAGATTGAACTAAGTCTAAATGCTACCCATAAAGTTACTGAATGGACAAAACCAAAGGCCTGGGACCAATGAAATGCATGAAACTGCTTTAAGAATTTATTCCCCAACCTAAGCTCTTGGCTCACACTCCTAATCACTCTAGGCCTTATGGTAATAATCATATGTAGTTTTATCCTGTGCATGATGAAAGCCTCTAACGAAATATTCAGAACCCTAGAGGCTACTCATATATTTCCTCTTTCTAAGGTGCTTAAACTAGTGAACTTATACAAGATGTTATAAGTTTTTATCAATTTCCCCCTCTGAGGAATTGATCACTCGTCACCCTCATACAGCAGGAAGTAGCCTAAGAAGGAGACTACTGTCCCATTATCCATGATTGTGAAACCTCGGAAACAAGGGGGACTTGTGAAGGCTGAAATGAAGGGATGAAGGGACCCCCTCACTGAAAATTACAGAACTTCAACAGACTAATAGGTATGATCAAAACAGACCTTAACCATAGTGACTAACTTGCTATTTTTCCTTCTCTTTTGTTTACGTGGATGCTGAGTTCTTTAGGTTTTTAAAGTTCATTATTTATTTCTTCTATTACCCAGTCATTTTAAAGGAGGATGTTTTTCAGTTTCCATGCATTTACCCTTTTTCCATTGGTCTTCCTAGTTTAGGTTTCTAATTTAATACCATTGTGATGTTAGAAGATGTTTTACAGTATTTCAATGTTTTTAAATGTATTGAGGCTTGCTTTGTGGCCTAACAGTTGGTCTATCCTGGAGACTGTTTCATGTGCACTGGAAAAGAATGCATATTGTGCTGTTGTTGGGCAAAGTGCTCTGTAGACATCTATAAGGTCAAGTTGGTTGATTGTATTGTTTAGTTCTTCTGCATCTTTTTTTAGTTTCTCTTCAGTTGTTTTACTGAAAGTGGTGTATTAAAGTCTCCTACTATTACTGTGGAGTCATTTATTTGTCTTTTTAATGTGCCATAAGGTTATCAATGGCTGATTTTTCATTAAAAACAAAACAAATAGCCCTTTCTTCTGAGGCACCTGTGGGTGAACGCAAACCTCTAATTTTTGGTCAACAGCTGAGTGCATAATTTTACACCCAAAGACTCCCTTACCCTCCAGGGGCTTATATTTGCATTCTATTCATCTTCTGAAGGCACTGAAAGTGTAATTTACATAATTACATATATCTGTATGTAACTTATTCCATCTCCTTTTGGGGCACCAGACTCCTGTTTCTACTTCTGGCCTTCTAGTGAAGGTTTCTAGCTTTCATACTGCTGGATACACACTGGGGACTCTCACAGGATTCTATAAGGCTGTTCTTCTCATTATTATTATTATTATCTATTGTGTTTTGGGCAAAAATTTACAGAGCAAATTAACTTTCCATACAGCAGTTCATGTACACTTTGTCTCATGACATTGACCACAATTCACCACAATGCAACAGCTCCCCTCCCACTTCCTCCCAATAGTTACCTCTTCCTTGTGTCCATCCCTCCATGCACTCCTGCCCACTGAGCTGTCTCCCTGTGCATAAACAGACCTTCTTTCTCCCGTGATTGTTCTCTGCAAGGAGTGTATCTACCTCAAGTAAATGTTCAACTCCTATGTGTAAGGCTATTCTTAGGCCCTATGACAGAGACACCTCACTTGCCTTTACATCTTTATTGCCCTGGAACATTTCTGGTCTCTGAGGCTCTCCTTATCATCTGAAGAATCCTGAACTTCTTTTATGTGAAATGAGCTACAGCTTCCTTTGATTGTGGGATCTCTGGAAACTTTTCCAGACTTCTTATCACCTCTCCTTTTGTGGAACTTGGGGCCCAAGGTAATGGCATTTCATATTCTTCCTTAAGATCCACTTAGGGATTTACTTTGCAGACCTCATCCTACCTGTGATTCCTCAAAATTCTGTTCCATGGAATTTTGTCTCCTTTTGTGTGAAAGAAGCAAGGAAACAAACAAGTTCTTATATCTTTATACATTCTTCTGGAATCTATGTTCTGACATAACCTTGGAAAAAGTTTTTAGTTTGAAGCCATGCTTTTGGAACTCTAGAGTCTTTTCTTAAAGTTTCAAAATTGTTTTACAAATAAATTATAAGAGGACAATTGTGAAAATTTGACAATTAACTGGTTATTAGAAGATACCAAGGATTGATTTATTATTAATTATATTGGGTGGGGAAAAAGGCCTTATGTATATATGCCATAAAGCTTGTGAAAGCCAGATACTGAGTAAGGTGGAAAACTGTCACAGAAGGAAAACTTTTTTTTTTTTTTTCCCCACTAAAACAAGCCATAGAAAAGTGGTAAGATTGAATCCTGCCAGAGGTGGAAAACTTGCGAGACTCTGAAGAACAAGGCAGTCTCATCAAGTTCCAGCTCTCATAAGTTTCACTATACAAAAACATTTTTTTTAGAAAAGTCACTGGAGGATATAACATGCAGGTTGAGATGGGAAGTGACAAGAGATTCAAGGCTGGAGCAACAGGGAGGAAACATCATAAAAACTCTCATACGCCATTCTTTGACGTCTTGCTGATGACATCAGACTGACATGATTAATTTCCATAAAGGCGCAGAGAATAAAAAAAGTGTCTGTGACTGGAAGATGGGTGGCTGGAGGATTTTTTATTCCTTTCTTTGCTTCATTAACCTATACCTAAATCCATTACCAATACTGTTGTTTCTTCATTGCCTTTTCATCCTCTCTTAGTTATCTAGCACTACAGGTGGGTGGCTTTAAAAAACTGAATTTTATTTGCTTATACTTTGTTGTTGATATGTGCCATCAAGTGTGACCCGACTCATAGTGACCCCTCCTTGGGTTTCCGAGGTGGTACCACTATGGAAGTAGACTGCCCAACCTTTCTTCCGAGGAGTGGCTGGCAGAATTAAACTGCCAGCCTTCTGGTTAGCAGCCAAGTGCCTTAGGCACTATGCTACCAGAGCTCACAGTTTAGGAGGCTAAAAGCCTGAATTCAGAGTATTAGCTCTAGAGAAAGGCTTTCTCTCTCTGTCAGCTCTAGGGGAAGATCCTTGTTTGGTTTTCTAATTATCAACTAACAGGTCTCTCTACATCTGCTCTTATTCCCTATAATCCATTTCTCACAGAATTGCCAAAGTGATTTCTTAAAGCCTAAATCAGATTGTTATTTTCATGCCTAAAACATTAAATGGCTTTCCACTGCATTTAAAATAGGATGCAACCTTACCCTAGATCATAAATTCCTATGTAATCCAGCCCATACCTTCTCTACCACCCTTTTTGTGGAATTCAAATTGGAGAAAGAAAGGAAGATATGAAAGGTGCAAAAACTTTCCATGGGCTCCGTATTGGACAATCTACAAGTACTTCCAAATAGGATCTCTACTTAAAGAAGAAACAAAAAAAGTCACTGAAAAATACAGTAATAATAATAATAATAAAAACCAAACTCACTTCTGTGAAGTTGGATCTGACTCATAGATACCACTCCTTGGGTTTCCGAGGTGGTGTTTTATGAAAGTAGATTGTCCAACCTTCCTTCCCAGGAGTGGCTGGTGGATTTGCAGTGCCAGCCTTATGGTCAGCAGTCAAATGCCTTAGGCACTATGCCACCATAGCATTTTCTGAATTCCACCCCTATCATAGATATGCTCCAAAAACCAAACTCACTGCTGTCCAGTCAATTCAGACTCACTGAGACCCCCACTGGATTTTCCAGGTTGTAAATCTTTATGGAAATAGATTGCCCCATCTTCCCCAGAACTAGGGGTGGGTTTGAACTGCTGACCTTCTGGTTAGCAGCCAAATGCCTTATCCACTTCCATCAGAGCGCTAACCAAAAAAGCCGAACTCACTGCCGTGGAGTGGGACCTGACTCATAGCAACCCTTCCCTGGGTTTGCCAGGCAGCATCACTGTGGAAGAAGATTGCCCAACCTTCCTTCCAAGGAGAGGCTGGTGGGTTTGAATCCCCACCCTTCTGGTTAGCAGTCAAATGCCTTAGGCGCTACACGACCAGAGCTCCCACCAGAGCTCTAGTAAGGCTTAAACTGAAACACAATTTTTAAATATAAAACCCCAGGATTCAGTCATAGGAAATGAAGGAAAGCATTTTGCTGGTAGTTCTAGGCCTGTAAACCTCATAGTTTCTTCAACAGAGGACCCTATTACATGTCACAGCAAGTGAGAAGAAAATTGACGAAGAAGGATCAGGTAGGGTCTGAAGAATGGGACTTAAGTCTATGGCTGAGGAAAAAACGGAAGGAAGGGTCATTTCACCCTTTTTGTAGTATGGAATCAAACAGAAAACATAATCGTGGGCACCGCAGTCAGGCCCCAGGGACCGCGTGGTTTTCCCGCGCGCCTGCATTGGGGGCGGGGAAGGACCCGGATGGTACCACCCCAGCCGCCCTGGTCTCCCACAGTCCGTAAATCACAACTTAGGGCGGAGTCTCCTTCCTTTCCGTGCCTAGATTGGCTTGTGTCCGTACGCTCTTCCTTCCGATTGGGCGCTCCCAGTGCCAGTCATAAAGGTTTGCTGATGTCTCAGATTGTTGCTACAAGGAGAGAGTGTCGAGGTCTGAATAGTCGCAGTGTGTTATCCTCTGGCGCTACGTTCTTCTGTCGGAGCTAGCAACCTCTTGGCCGCGGGGCCTGGAAGGAGGCGTAGCTAGGCAATTTGGGAACGATCCGGGAGCACTCAGGTGCTTCTCTTGCAGCCCCACTCAGCGCCATGTCCTGGATGTTCAAGAGGTAAAGCGAGTGGAGGGGTGGGGCGCAAGGGTTAATGGAGTGGCGGCGTCCCCAGATGAACCTGACCTTCCCTGCGCCCCTACCGCGTTCTTCCTGCGATTTGTGCTGCTTGTATTTGTTCTGCTGGTCGCTTCTTTGGCCGCAGAAGAAAGAATGGCATTGTTTTCTCTGGAGAGAGTAGGCTTCTCAAGCGAGGCTTGTGCGGGGACTTGGGAAATTTCTGTCGCGGGTTGCTAGGGGCTTGGGTCTCAAAGCTCTACTTGGTAGATAGGATTCAACAAAACATGCATTAAATATCCACTATACGCAAGCATTATGCTCGAGATAGAGACCCAGCAAGACGGTCCTTGTACCGGGGAGTTTTGATTGGTTTATGTGCATGCACAGATGTGCAAGTATATATTTACAGAGGAGCCAGAAGAGGTATGCGGGATGTGCAAGAAAAAGCGAATAGCCGTTCTTAGGAGAAGGAGAACTTGTAGGCTCCCTAGCAGATTTCCCCTTTTCACTGTCTAAATTAGTTGACATGCCCATTTCTGAAACAGTTATCCATAAGGAGACTGGATGATCTCTGAACCAGCGAGAAGGGGGCGGAGGATTGATGTCAACATCCCATGATGGCATTGTTTGAATACCTGAGTTAAAAATAAGGGTTCTTTTGGAAATTAATGAATGCTGGATGGGCTGTGTCTATTGCTGTAATCCAGAGTGGGAATGTATTTTCTTTAAATGTATAAACTGCTTCAGGTATAATAATAGGTCTCTTCTAGCTCAATCCCCTTTGAAAATTGGACATATAAATGTAATTACAGACATTTCATGTATTTCAATTTATAAGGAGCTTTGGTGGTGCACTGCCTAAAACATTTGACTGCTAACCCCAGCCACTCCTCGGAAGGAAGGTTGGGCAATCTACTTCCTTAGTGATACCGCCTCGGAAACCTAAGGAGGGGTCATATGAGTTGGATCCGACTTGTCGGCAGTGAGTGAGAAGCTTGGTGGTTCAAACCCACTAGCTGCTCGGCGGAAAGAAGCTGGGGCAATCTACTTCCGTAAAGATTTAGCGCCTGAGAAACCTAATTGCTGTGAGTCTGAATGTATAAATTTCCCTTTGTAGAGATAGATTATCTCTGGGAAAGAAATTTGTAAAGGATTTTTTTTCTTTTTTTTTCCATTTTTAATACCTTGAGGGTGGAGGAGGCAAAACTGAACAGGTAGGGTTCCTGGAAACTTCTCCCAACCCAATTTGTGCTTTAACTCAAAAAAAAAAAAAAAAAAACCTCACTGCCATGCAGCGATTCAACTCATAGTGACCCTTCTTGGGTTTCCCAGGCAGTATCTCTAGGGAAGAAGATTGTCCATTCTTCCTTCCGTGGAGTGGCTGATGGGTCTGAACTGCCACCCTTCTGGTTAGCAGTCAAGATAACTATTAATCTATATATAGTGGTTGCCACATGTGATTTCATTTGCTGAATAAAGTATGAGAAAATTATGGCCTATACGTACTTGTATGATCTTTGAGGAATATCTGGTTAAATATTGTATTTTTCAGTGACTTTTGTTTCTTCCTTAAACAGAGATCCTGTTTGGAAGTACTTGCAGACTGTCCAATATGGAGCCCATGGAAATTTTTCACGCCTTTCATATCCTACTTTCTTTCCCCGTTTTGAATTCCAAGATGTTATCCCTCCAGATGACTTCGTAACTAATGATGAAGACCTAGATTCCGTTTTATTTGGAACTTTAAGAGGTCATGTGGTTGGACTGCGCTATTACACAGGAGTAGTGAGTATGACAATAGATAATCAAGTTAAACTAATATATTTAGGTGTTAGCTCAGAAAATAAGTGAATCTAGAAGGTGATACGTGCAGTTGATATTATTTTTACTTTAAGTGATTGACTCTATGGCAAGAGATAATAAATACCTGAACTGCATTGCTTTAGTATTCTTTTATGCTCATGATGTACAAAGCACTTTTGCCTGCACTGTCTCTTTTGATCTCTACAATAACTGATATAGACAGGACATCTATTATCCCCTTTTTATGACTGAGGAACTTGAAGCTCAGAAAGGTTAAACCATTTGCCCAAAACACACAGATATTAAATAACTGTATTTGAGAATGACTTCCAAGTCCATAGCTTTCTCCTCTTTTGCACCTTACAGCATTTCTACGCTATAATATTTTTAATTTTGGAAGATCAGCTCCTACTAGGCAAGACAGTTGTCTATTCTTACGTGCTTTTTTCCCCCTTGTAATAAAGCCTATCTCTGGTCCACCTTTTCTTCCTATGCTGATCTTGTACCTATTCTCTACATTGTGTTTGTGTTATGTGTGTGTTTTTTTTTTTTTAAACAAGAAGTTTATTTAAACAAGATATTTGACTTGAAGGAAAAACTATCTAGGATTCATTTCTTTTAGAGTAATTTACCCCTATGTAAAGACAGATTGCCCAACATGTAATGTTGTTGTTGTTGTTGTTGTTTGCCGTCGAGTCGGACCCGACTCATAGTGACCCCTCCTTGGGTTTCCGAGGCAGTATCACTACGGAAGTAGATTGCCCCATCTTCCTTCCGACAACATGTAATAGCTACTTACAAAAAAGTTATAAAATTGGCCTTGGTTTTACAATGATAAATGAAAAACATTAAAATTTTCCAGTTGAACAAGGTATGCACGGATTTTTTTTTTTTTTTATGTCGTTTTTGTTAAACAATGAGAGCAAAATAATTTACTGGAATAGAAAGATAAGAGCTGAGTGAGTATGCCACTGATGGAGAAAGGGGTGGGTTTTCACAGAACCAGTATTTGTCCCCATCCTATCCCCACTTGATGTCAATCAAAACATGCCATTGGACATTTAGTTTTTTTTTAAAAAAAAAGCAATATGCTTGTGCACATGTACCAGTTACTTTATGTACTGCAGCGGGGAGAGAATATAACTTTCTTTGGTTAGTAGTTCTCCTTGTTATGGTGATCTAGTATGCCTTTGTGTTACCTAATTTAGTTTACTTTATTTACATAGAAGTAGAATAGGACAGGTTACAGATGAGATCATTTCTAAGTGTGCCTTTTGCACCTATGTTGTTGTTGTTGTTATGTGCCATTGAGTTGGACCCGACTCATAGCGACCCCTCCTTGGGTTTCCGAGGCAGTATCACTAATGGAAGTAGATTGATTGCCCCATCTTCCTTCCCAGGAGTGGCTGGTGGGTTTGAACGCCAGCCTTCTGGTTAGCCGTCAAGTGCCTTTAGGCACCTATATGGCACATAAAAGGGCCCCCTACGTTTTTTGACAACTGAGGCATGCTGCCATCTGGTGGGGAACTGTATAACTGCCAATCTGAAGAATCGGGCCTTACACCACCAACCCCAGCACCAAAGACCCCCTGCAACATGTGTCCAACTAATTGTATCAAAACCCATATTACCTCAAAAAAAATTTTTTTTCCCATTTCATTCAAAATGCCTTCCATTACTGAAGACTCATGGTTTCAACAAAAAATTCAAATCAGAAAATATTTGGTCTTGAAAGGGTTAGGTTAAATTTATAAGTAAGGCAAGACAGGTGCCTATTGTTTCTTACTTTAGTGCAAGAAAAGACTTGAAGCCTTTTTGGTAATTTAAAAGCTGCACATGAAGCAAGTGAAGGTGATTGTGATGGAGAATTTGGAAGAATTTGTTGAATAGGAGTTGCTTCATAGTGGTTAAGACACTTGCCTGCTAACCAGACGGCTGGCGGTTCAAACCCACCAGCCACTCCTCGGAAGGAAGGTTGGGCAATCCTACTTCCGTAGTGATAACTGCCTCAGAAACCCAAGGAGGGGTCGCTATGAGTCGGGCCGACTCGATGGCACTTAACAACAACAACAACAACAGTTGTTTCAAAGTGAGGGCAAATTTACATAACATTAAAGGGCAAGTTTAAGATATTCAGGAAGTCCAACAATCTTACCTGGGGACTTACTGTATAGGAAATTCCCATTAACTCATGACCCAGATTCAATAGTTAACAAGATTTTTCTACATTTGTTTCATTTATCTCTTTTTCCTTTTCTTTGTTATTTTGTACTTTAAAAGCAACTTCCAAGTATATCAACATTTTACACCCATTTAATCCAATATGTGACTTTTAAAAAGCACATTTCTTTACATATTGTTTTCATATTGAAAATTAATAATTTCTTCCTGTATCTAAAATCTAATCTGTAATCATATTTTCTTGATTGTCTTTTTATAATTTTTTTAATCATGAAAACAAAGTTCATACATTATATTTGCTTATTACACCTCATAACCCTCCTGCTCCCCGCCCCTTTTTTTCATGTCATTGACTTGTTGCAGAAACCAGATGTGTTACTCTGAAGACTGTTCTAGATTTGTCACTTCTATTGCTTCATATTTTTCTTGGGGTGAAGCTTCTCAAATCATGTTTTGCTTGTCTGAATCGTGTTCTGCAGGAGATTCCTTGGGTAGAGATTTCATGTTCTGGATTTGTCTCTGCTTCCGTTTCCTCCCATACTTTCTCTGTGTTGAAGCCTTTCAAATCATTCTATGATTTTCTAGGAAATTCTGTAGGAAGGAACAATATTTCCTTAGTTTTTATATGTTCATAATTGTCACGTTATACTTGAAGGGCAGTTTGCCCCAATATATAATCATTGGCTCATATTTTTCTCCAAGATACCTTAATGTTGCATAAAATGCTGCCTGTGAGAATTCTAATGCAAATATGATTTTCTCTTCCTTGTAAGTGAATTGAATTTTTTTTTTTTTTTTGCTTGGCTGACCAAGGATATTTTTCCTTATCTTGAAAGCCAGTTGTTTTATTTTAGAGTATGTTTTATTAATATTGACTGCCCTGTAAATTCAAATTTTCTTTTACTTCAGAAACATTCTGTAGTTTTAAATGTTTGTTTTGTTTCAAAACTTAGTTTTTCTTTTTCATGGACAGCTCTGGTAGCGTAGTGCCTAAAGCACTTGACTGCTAACCATAAGGCTGGTGGAAGGAAGATGGGGCAGTCTACTTCCGTAGTGATACTGCCTCAGAAACCCAAGGAGAGGTCGCTATGAGTTGGGTCTGACTTGATGGCACATAACAACAACAATCTTTCTATGTATTAGACTTTTTCTACCTGTATCTATTACTTTCTCCAAAATCTTTTTTAATCACTTTTCTACTTTGCATCATTTATTTCCCTTACCCTATTTTTCACAAGGATAGTTTACTCTTGTGTTATTTCTACTTTAATCTTCAATCCTGAAATAGTTTTTCTTTTTCCCTAATTATTTCCTGAATTCTATCATTTCTTATTTCATATCTATCTATTCTCTAACTTTATCATTTCTGTGCTTTTCTATTTCTGATATGTGGTATTTTTGTCAAAACTTCTTTTCTAAATTTCTTTAAATCATGGTAGAATATTAGATTATTTTTTTTGTTGTGTTATTAATCTTAGCACAATCATTAGTTGATCTTGGAACAGTCTGTGACATTAGTAAGCTAATAAAATGTGGTGGGTCAACTAAAAGTCATCATCAGTTAATGTTTGTTATTAAAAATGTATGTTATATATTTTATAAGCAATCCATGTTCTTAAAAAAAAAAGGTTAAAAAATGGTTAAAATGGTTAAATCACCCTAAAGTTGACCGTCCAGAACCATAACTTACTTTGATGTGTTTCACACTTTTGTCTGTGATCATATGCATATAAATTGCAATCACATGATGTAGTAATAGAATGAAATCATTTTATGCCTATTGTGAGTACTGTTTTTGTTTTAGGTCAAATACAAATAGCCTTGCAATTGAGGTCTTCAATAATGACAGGTCTTTGAGAATAACACTTTTTTCTTTTTAATTGTAAAAATATATTTAAGACATTTGCAACAATTTTAACATATATAATTCAGTGATAATGACTATGTTCATCATAACAATATGGTGAATGAATTACCACTATCCTTTTCCATATTACATCACCATTAATAGAAATGCAGTGCCTGGGAGTGAGGCTTTGAAAGAACTTTATCCATCCTGTTTCCTCTGGTGTCTGTCAGGATACATCAGGAATGCCAGTAGACTTTCATTCTTAAAAGCTACCCTGTAGCTAGAGAGCAGGGGATGGGACTAGGGTACTGATAACTCATTTGTTCTTCTTGAATAAAAAATCACAGGTTACTGCAAGCCTTTTACTCTTCCCAGAATTTTGAAAAAGTTATTCTGGACACTCTTGCCAATTATTTTTGTTTCGTTTATGGAAGAGAGAATTCTTGGAGGTCCTTACTCTGCCATGCTCATCTTTAGTAATGACACCCTTGGGAAGCATTTTATCAAGTGAAATTAAAAAATGGCATGAATTAAGGACTGGATATAATTGTTGGCTTTTTGGTATATTTTTCTTATACCAGTTCTTTTCTGCTTTATAATAAATGCCTTTTCTCACTTTTAGATTTTGGAAAGTTGAGGCTGAGGAACCAGACTATTTGGGTTCAAATCCCAGCTCTGCTGATATCTTTATGACCATGAGCAAGTTACTTAACTTTTCTGTGCTTTAATTTCTTCATCTGTGAAATGGGAATAATGATAGTACGTGTCCTACAAGACTGTGAGGATTTAACAAGTCAATCCATTTAATGTTCTTAGGACATATTTGGCATACAGTAAGCACTCAATATAAAGATTTGCCATTTTTCAGAAGTTGTGATATTGGAAATTTTAGATAATGTGAATCTGTGAGTTTAGATTTTGAGTATACCTTTTAGATACCAGGGATTTCTTAATTTCCTAATGAGTGTAATTAGAAAAGCACTATAAAAGAATTATTATAAAGTATATTCTTTAATTTTTCTATAGTTTGACTCTATAAGAAAATACACTTTTATTATATATAACATTTAGCAGTAAACGTTAAAAAATAAGTAAAAATTCAAGATGAAATATGATGAAGTAAAGTTCATCTGTTCATTATTTTTATTAGGTTAATAATAACGAAATGGTTGCTTTACAACGAGAACCTAATAACCCTTACGATAAGAATGCGATTAAAGTAAACAATGTGAATGGAAATCAAGTTGGCCACATAAAGAAGGATCTTGCGGCTGCTTTGGCATCTATCATGGACAGCAAGTTGGCACAAGTTGAAGGGTAATGTACCTTGAGTGTTTAGTTTTAATAATTGTGAGTTGATAGTTATCTTTGAACTTATTAAAGCTCCTTCCTAGAGCCTGTGTAAGTACCCCAAACATTTTTTACATTGTGGTGAATCTATATATAACAACATTTGCCATGTCAACATTTTTTGTATGTACAATTTAGTGATGGTAATCACATTCATCATGTTGTGCCACCAAACCAAAAAAACAGCTCACTACCATTGAGTCAGATCCCACTCATAGCGACCCCTCCTTGGGTTTCTGAGGCGGTATCACTACGGAAGTAGATTGCCCAACTTTCCTTCAGGGGAGTGGCTGGTGGGTTTGAACCATCAGCCTTCTGGTTAGCAGTCACATGCCTTAAGCACTATGCCACCAGAGCTCCTGTTGTGCCACCAGTACCACCTAAAACCTTTCATCACTATGCTTTTAGTATGTATTCAGTAAATGTTTTCATTCTTTTCTCTGCCTCCACTACTCCAGCCATCAAACAGGTATCTTTACTTTCCTAGTGGAGAAGTACAGACTTTCATTCAAATATTAGGAAATACACATCTCTCAAAACCTTGGGGCATGTAGATTTTGGGGGTCTGGAAGTGTTTCAGTCAGGTTAGAAACTGGTAGCCTGTGATCAGATGCAGCTGAGTTTCACTTTGTTCTGTGTATACATCTTTCTAAATTCATTCTAGTATTTAAATATAAGAGTATTTCCCATTTTATATATGTCAACTTTTTCTTAAATATAAAAAAGTTTATAAAAATTTTCTCTTGGCAAATGGGAGGTCAGGCAATGCCGGACCCACTTTCCCCACATGGCATCAGTTACCTGGAGCTGAGTAAGTAGCAGCTTTTCCTTTAGATAGCGCATGTCCTTTCTGTTTTCACCATTTCTTCTTTTGTTTTTTAAATTAACTCTCAGCCTGTTTCAGACATTTGTGTTTGTGATCTCAATTTAAATACTTGGGATATTTAGTATATGAAAAGATAAGTTTGGAAGTAAATGCATAGCTATGTCTCCCTTTACTTGTTTTCTCCATTTTAAATTCATCAAGTTTGTAGGTATTGAGAATAAATTTTAGTTAATCCTGGACCAGAAACAGTTGTGCAGGATTTCCCACTCTCCCATCAGAGTTCCTTTGCTCTCTTCAGTGGCTCTGTTAAGGAAAGCTCTACCCTTTCAAACTAGTTTACCTATCTGTAGGGAGCTCTGGTAGCATAGTGGCTAAAGCACTTGACTGCTAACCAGAAGGCTGGCGGTTCAAACCCACCAGCCACTCCTCGGAAGGAAGTTTGGGCAATCCTACTTCCGTAGTGATACTGCCTCGGAAACCCAACTCACTATGAGTCGGGGCCGACTCGACGGCATATAACAACATCTGTAGTCTTGGTCACAGGCTATCTTTGTATTTTAAGACTACTTCTGGCTTTCTCTTAAAAACTACCCTTACTAATTGTCCTTGAGTCTGTTCCTTGTCCTTTTCCTCGTCTGCCCAACCTAGTTCCTTTTATTTTATTTCCATGTATAATGTGTGTGGTTTGCTTAGAATATTTACCAACATTTCTAATTTTTCCTTTTTTTTCTCTCCTCAATATAATAGGGTAGTTCCTTTTGGTGCAAACAATGCTTTTACTATGCCTCTGCATATGGCTTTTTGGGGAAAAGAAGAAAATAGAAAAGCAGTTTTAGATCATTTGAAGAAACATGGATTTAAATTGCTTCCTCCACCTAAAAGTAAGTTTAGGGTTTAATTTACTATTATTTTGATATTTTAAGATGTAGGGATTGTAGAATATTTATTCTTTTAAGTTATACTTTGACTTTGGTTGGCCAAACTAATTTGGACTAGAGATTCCAAGTTAATTTTTTTAGGAGTCTGTTTAGGGAAATCCCTGATTTATTTTTTAACTCTTATTTTGAAATAACTAAAGGTTTACAAGAAGTTGTGGGGGAAAAAAAAAAAAAAACTTTGCAGGGAGATTTCTCGTGTATTTCTTACCCTGTGTCTTTCAGTGGTAACATCTGGAAATCCTGAATTTTAAAGATTCTCTAGGATAAATTATTGATAAGAAGACGAATATTATTTATTTGGCAAGAATTCACTCTTATAACTTCGAATTATTTTAATTTTCAGTTTTTTGAATGATTTAGGACTTCGCTTTTTGAAAAACATGCCAAGAAATTTTAAATATACTTTATTATGTAAATTTAAAAATTACTTATAGGATTAAAAAAAAAAACCTGTTTCACTTTGGTGATTTTGTTCTTTTTATTGTGTAAATTGATAGCTTTAGGATTCAGTTTGGAAAGTGGTTGGGGTTCTGGAAGAGCTGGACCAAGCTATAGCATGCCAGTTCATGCTGCAGTGCAGATGACAACTGAACAGGTATACTTCTTTTTCACTTTGTAATCTAAATATGAATTATAAATGATGAGGATCAGTGTTGAAAAGAATAAGGCAGATATGTGTGTGCTAGTATTAATGATCTTTATATGGATTGTGAAATTATAATTAAGCATGTTGTAGAATAAATAAATGTGTGTGTATGTATGTATGTATACATGTGTGTGTGTTTGTGCATAGGAGTTCTGGTGGCGTAGTGCCTAAGGCATGTGACTGCTAACCAGAAGGCTGGCAGTTCCAACCCACCAGCCACTCCTCGGAAGATTAGGCAATCTACTTCTGTAGTGATAGCTGCCTCAGAAACCCAAGGAGGGGTTGCTATTAGTCGGGTCTGACACCATGGCAGTGAGTTTGGTTTTGGTTTTGGTTTATATATATATGTTTATAAATATTTATTTAAGAAGAAAGCAGCGATAATGTATTCTATACACACATTCATATATACATAAAGACACATGACTGTATCCATGGGATGTTTTTGTGTTTGAAATTTTCACAGTAATAATTGAAAAAAATGATTTCTTGAAACTTACTCATAGTAAGGTTGCAGATGCAGTGCTAAAAAAATGACTTCAAATCTTTAGCATTACTCTATAGTTCTTACTTTGTCTAATTTGTAATGAAAGATACTTTTATGCTGAATTAGGAGCTGATGGTATGTATTCATTTTAAAAAAAAAGATGTCAATAAAATAACCAATCTGCAGATAATGTGAAAAACAATCTTAATGTCTTTACTCACCAGTGTTAGCGTTTTTATCTTCTCCTTGTATTTATCATATTCAGGAGCTCTGGTGGTATAGTGCCTAAGGCATTTGACTGCTGACCAGAAGGCTGGTGGTTCAAACCCACCAGCCACTCCTTGGAAGGAAAGTTGGGCAATCTACTTCTGTAGTGATACTGCCTTGGAAACCCACGGAAGGGTTGCTATGAGTCAGATCTGACTTCAGGCAGTGACTTTGGTTTGGTTTGGTTTATTAGAAGGACATGAGCTTGTGTCTGATGGGCAAACCACAGGTTACTTTCAACCTTTTAGATCTGGCCTGCTTGCTTTAGTCTGCTGCTGATATATTCATGCACTAATTTATAAAGTGGCTATAACACATATATATTGCTATACAGTTGAACTCAGTCAAATTAAAGAACTAAATTAATGTATCATTGAAATCAGCCTAATGTCTTATAGCACATAGTAAGTTTCTATCAGAGTCATAAAAAATGAAATGTTGTTTACTTGAAAAAGATTCAGATGCATCTGGTAGGATATACCAAAATGATTCAAATACCAGTGATAAAACCATAGAATTTCAGTGACAGAAGGAACCTGAGAGAGAATCTGAATTTAGTTTATCTGTTTACATTGCAAGATACAGGGCCATAAAGGTTAAATGTCTTATCCTAATTTATATATACAGGCTGATTTGTTAGAGAGTTGTTCACTGAAACCCAGGACTTGTTTTGTATTCTTTTGAGTGCAGTCCACTTACCTTTTAACACCTGTTCATCTTGCCTTCAGTGATCAGTATGGTATCTCCAAAGAAAAGGTTACTTTGGTGTTTGACCCTTTTAGTGTTAGGTACATAATTTAAAATCCCTTAAACAAGTATAATTATTCCTTTAATTGGTTTACTTTTGTTTATTGTAGCTTAAAACAGAATTTGACAAATTGTTTGAAGATTTAAAAGAAGATGATAAAACTCAAGAAATGGAACCAGCTGAGGTATTGATACCATATTTTGTATTTGAAACTATTTGGAATTTTTAAATATGATGTTAATCTATACATTTTCTGTCATAACATCAAGGTTTTTTTTTTGTTTTGTTTTGCTTTCATGTTCTGTATGTGAAAAGAGAAACGCCTTAACCATATTTCTGTTTATGACATTTTTTGTAGGCTGTTGAAACACCTTTACTTCCACATCAAAAACAAGCTCTAGCTTGGATGGTTTCACGGGAAAACAGTAAAGAACTTCCACCATTCTGGGAACAGCGAAGTGATTTATACTATAACACAATAACAAATTTTTCTGAGAAGGATCGACCAGAAAATGTCCATGGAGGAATTTTAGCTGATGATATGGGCTTGGTAGTTAATTTTTTTCTTCCCCCTGTTTAGGACTAGATTATACTTTCAATGTAGAATGCAGTGTTTTCCTATGATTTTCACTTAAAATAATGCTGAATAATGTGTGTGTGTGTGTGTGTGTATGTTTTGTTTGTTTTTGAGATTTGGTTAAGGTATAGTTAAAATTACTAGGTTTAAAATGTCTTTCTTAATTTCTTTTGCTTTTTCAAATTCAGGGATCTATGAATTTTCCTTAATAAAAGTAAAGATAGGACAGTCTTAGATGAAATTGTGCTTTTATTTTCTAATAAATATATGGAGTATTAAATATGTATTTTTATGATAACTTGCAGGAGGAGGTTTTACATTTTTCAGTCTCAGACATGTTTATACTTTTAAAATTTATTGAGGACCCCAAAGAGCTTTTGTTTTTGTGGGTTATATCTATCAGTATTAAAGAAAAAAAAAATTAAAACATTTATTAACTCTAAAATAACAGTAACAAACCTGTTCTTGTTAACGTAAATAATACATTTTAAATAACATTTAAAAATGAAAAATAACACTGTTTCTAAAACAAAAGCTATTTTAGTGAAAAGAAAGGCTGTCTGTTGTATACTCTGTTCCACTAAAATTCATTGGTGTATCTTGCAATTTGAATGATTATTTTACTCATGCCCAATTTGTAAGATCAGGATTGCTTATTTGGAAACCAGCCACTACTTGGAAGGAAGGTTGGACAATCTACTTCCGTAGTG